TCCCTCCATTTTCTAAATAGGCTTTTATTCTGAAACATTTGTCAGAACTTCCTGTGGAAGATACAGTAGCTTGATAGTTTACTTGTGGCGCTTCAAATGTAGCTCCTGCCATCTGCTGACGCTTTTAGGTGACTACAACAACATGTCGGCTGGCACATGAACAGACACAGTGACTCAAATAATAGTAAAAGTAATTAAAATAGGACAAGAATAACCTGATGACATAACACACGCCGTAAAAGACGACCAGGGATAATTGGTGAGTACCAGCGCGTAGCGTATACCAGGCATAATGCAAGTCCTGAGTCTGAAATATGTCTGTCAGTGAGTCCTACTCCACCTATTTAGACTCCGCCATAGACGGCAGCATTTCTCCGACCACGTAGCGAGCCACAAGCTCCGTGGCTTCTTTCAGACTGATAAGTTTAACGTTATCTCCGTTATTAAAACCACATGACAGCCGCTGCTGTTTCGTAGCTGAAGGACCAGCGTTCTAAAAGTAACGGAAGTAACTGATGTCTTGTTTGAAAATGTACTTAAGTATTTGATTACTCAAACAACAAACTAACACATAAGATAAATAATAAAAAAAAAAAATAATCAAAGTACTCTAACGCGTTACTTTGTAACGCGTTATACCCAACTCTGGTCATTATAAAGGCTACATACACATGCTATATCTTGTTTTTTTTCAGGACAATCTGGGCTAACCATCATTTCATGTCCTTCTATGTGCCTGTATTTTATATTAATTTTCATATCAATTAAAAAAAACAAATCTGTGTTACTAAATTCTTACTTTTTTACATGTATCTCAGCATAGCAAGCTGGAAGTTGACATATTCTGCCATATATGAAGAGGGGAGACTCTCTGGAATCTGGCAATATAAGAACTAGGGATGCATGATAACTTTTCTTTTAAACTGATACCGATAACTTTCAGCTCCTAAAGGCCGATACCGATAACACACACACATATAAAGTATATGTGTGTATATATATATATATATACATATACACATACATATATATATATATATATATACATATATATAGATATATACAGACTTGTCTATGTAAACAAACTGAAAAAGTGCATTCAGTAACAGTAAAATAGGTTTAAAGAATTTTGGCTTATGGTTCCATTCAAATGTATATATATCTCAAATTAGAAGAGAGAGAGAGAGAGAGAGAGAGAGCGCGTCTGTGTGTGTGTGTTGTCACGGTACCAAAATTGGGACCCACAGTATGATACCAATGACAGTATCACAGTTCTGAGTAGTATCACGATACCACAGCAAAAATGAGGCAGATGTGCCTTTTGTCATTTATAAAAAGATAAATCACTTTTCTATAATACATCAATGATATTTCAATGGAATAAATTACTTATTGACTTATTCATACTTCAAAAACAGCATCAATAAGTGATTAACATAGGGGAGATCAAAATAAAATAAATTAATAAAATAAAAATCAACCAGCCACCCTCCTCCCCTGACAAGTAAAGAACAGTCCCTTCATAAGTAAAGAACAGTCCCTAAAGTGCGGTGAGGTTTGTGGACCGTTTCCTGCCACAAAGAGTAATGTGATCGGCCCGTTTCTCCTCTGACACGTCACATACCTGTGTGCCGCCAGGGCTTGGCTTTTCAGGTACTTCTGGGCAGTCATGATGCCAACAAGAGGACATTACTGGACGTGGAGCCGGACTTATCCGTCGCCGGTAAGCCATTATCTTGCGCCGCGGAGCACATGGCCGCCGTATTTGATAGGAATACGTATTCCTGTCTGTCTGTGACCCCCGTTCAACCCACAACCGGCAGGAATTGCCGTTATTGGATGGCGCATGGACACTCACCCTCTTGCGACTGGACTTTGAACTTATCCCACAGTAGTGGTACCGTGAGGTACTATAGTACTACAGTACTCCAACATTATGGTATCATATGTACTATGGAGTTTTAGTGCCGCGGTCTACCGTTGGTACCAGTATACCGTGCAACACTAGTGTGAGAGAGAGTGTGCGCATCTGTGTGTTTGTGTGTGAGAGAGAGTGTGCGCATCTGTGTGTGTGTGTGTGTGAGAGAGAGAGAGAGAGAGAGAGTGCGCGTCTTTGTGAAATTATGACCGAGTTAACGAGTTGTTTTCCAACATGAGGGGGTTTTCTTGAATTTTCCCAGTCAGAAAGAGTTTTTCTGATTATGCCGATGTCACTTGAACGCAGCATGTCGGGCATGTCCCCCTCAATGTATATGGTGACTACGGCCCTGTCATGCATGCATAATTAAGGCCCATTTATGCTCCCTTTACGTACGAAAATGTATACATCCATTTCAAACGATGTTACCATCACAGCCCACATACTTCCATGCGCCCTTTACGTTGGCATGGATAGTCTGATACTAAGGTTGTGTGTTGCCATGACAGTAAGCAATCCTCATAAAAAGTTAAAAGACCTGCAGATATGTGTAGGCCTGGTGAAATTAAACAAATAATACATGAGCTAAATTTTTACTTTAGTCTAATATTGATGATGGTGGGGCCTCATATTCATTAACACGCCAAAAATATTACATGATGCCTGCTAGACTGATGCTTGGCTGTAGAGGCTAGGCTAAGCTAAGCTAAGCACAGTGTGCTAAAGTGACAGAAGACGTTTTATTCCATAGCCTAGCTTAATTAAGTTATCGTTGGGTTATAATAGACAGTTACACACATTGCTATTTATAATTGGGAGAAATAAAATTACCACTCTGTTGCAGACTGAGAGGACCAAGGTCCACTCTCATGGGGGTTAGTGTCCTCTGGCTCAGAGCTGCATTCTGGCTCTGGTGGCTCAAACATGTAGGGCTGCGGTTGCAGAAGACAGTTCGGAGATGCATCCATTTTCCTGGTAGCGGTGGTGACTTTGATGGACAGGTGACACTTGGTAGGGGGCGGGGTTTTCGCGCATTCCGCGGACACACCCACAGCGTTTGGGAGCAGAGACAGAGGCTGATTTTTACACAACTTTGAAGCCTAATTTCATATATTTGCCGAATTTTTTAATCGTTCAAATTTGACAGGGTAGCTTACAACACCTTTTTCTGTGATATGTCAAACTCAGATGACATATTTATTTTCACTTTACACGGACTTTAACCAATATATCCACCAGGAGGCAGCCCAGCGTCAAATGTTTATGACAACAACAAACTCAAAAACAAACATGACAACTGTGGAGGAGATATTGATAATGTACCTCGTGCATAAAAGACAAAAACAGAGGCAGCGTTGTGGGAGGCGGTGGTCGGTGAGGCTGTTAAATACGTCACGACTGGAGGACGGAGAATTCTTTTCTCTAGTACTGCTGATGAGAGAAATTGAATTGTTATTTCTTCTTCGTGTCTCACGAGAGCTACGTATCGGGTAGTGACAGCAACACTGCCCACACAGTTCCCGGTGGTACTGCTCCGTTTGGCCTGTATCTGTAAGCTTTATGGAAATGTGCAGAAATACGGACGAAATGAACGCGGAGCACGGACAGAAGACTCCGTCCGTATCCGTATCCGAATTTAACGTTGAGCATAAATGGGCCTTTAGGCTACAGTTGTCTGGGTGCGCAAAGGTGAAGTACGCTGGTCTTGTCATACAAAGTTTGACGAGTGTCAACTAGACAATATGGAGATGTCTGCATCTTGAAAGCCGGACTACAAATGTGGATAGACAGGGAGAAACACACGCAAGTCTAAGACGTGGTAAGATACGATATTCCTCACTATATGAAGTGACTGATAACAAGATGGATTGTAAAGAAATTCATCAGGTTTTTATTTTGTAGACAATCAATCTGTATTTACTGCATGATGGGATGACAGCACAATGATGTGTGTGGTATCACTGGAAAGCTATAGTCCTGCGCTTTCATGTGATATGCGTGGCAATTCTGTGCAAGCCTGCATTCGCGAGTAATCAATCAAAGAGTAATGTGTGTGCAAAGCTGTATGAAAGCTCTGTTATACATCATTTTAGTGTAAATTTATCATTTTTTTACACTGTGAAAACACTGGACTACCGACAAGTGCTTGGTCTTGTCGGAAAGCTACGATGCCGCTGTTTCACGTGATATGTGTGGCTTCTCACTATGATGCACGGTCGCGGAGAAAATCAATAGAGAAGAACAGGTGTGAATTTGGACGCACTATGTGTCGTTCGGGCCCATAGGGTTAACAATGTTAGCATCAGAAACTGTGCTTACATTGCTAACAAAACTAACAGTGATGCTAAAGGGCTCAAACTGAGCTGCTTACACACCAAGTTGACCTCTGGGAAGACCGAAGGGTAGGCACAATTTTTCAACAGCAATGCATTAACCAACAACTAACCGGTTAAAAAAATGCAAAATGATGTGAAATAGGCTCTAGTCTGGCACTCCCTTATCTCAGTGAGCTCTACGGCATTTCGAAGCACTGTCCTTTGATGTTTTGTGTTGTAAATGTTTACCCTTTATCTTTTTCTATCTCTCTCTCTCTCTCTCACACACACATTTCAGAGTTTTCAGTTTTGGCAAGATCTCGGCCATGATTTGCCAGTACTCATCTTGTAGTTCTAGGGTCCTGGCGTCTGGAAATTAAGTGATCGTCTGGTCAGACAAAACAGCTGTCACAGCCCATCTCTGCTCCACCAACCTCTTGAACATGTCATAAACAGAGTTCCGCCGTGTTTTTGTTGACTGGAGCAGAGTGTGCTGTGGCAGTTGCACCTGGGCCTGTTTTGTTTTAAGTCCCATGCTGGCGGTGTGGCTGTGGTTAAAGTGCTTTACCAGCCTCGCTGCAGCAACGATTATGTGACTGATGTGTGCGCTGAAGCCATCATTGATAGCGAGTTGCAGCATGTGTGCGAAGCATGGCCCAGAGTGCCTGGGGACACGTGCTGGGGAGTTGGCTGCCACAATGTTTCTGGCATTGTCATGGATTGTCATGGAATGCATTATTTCCTGTGAGACAACAAAATGAACTTACGAGATGTTGCTCTTGAGTTTCTGCAACAGCATGCTGGGCTCCGTGTCGCCCTCACCTGCCTCCAGACTGCCATCCCCCCGCCGGGAGGCTTCGGCTTGCTGGTGCCGCTCTGCCTCCGACATCTGGACCAACTAACCAGTGCTAAGTACCACCATCTAAGGAGACAAAAACACATTCTCAACTACACTGCTGTTGTGACAAATATACTTTATATCATAGCTTGTAGAACTGAAATACATAACTTGATTAATCAGTTCACAAAAATTCATTATCAACAATTTAAATAATCAAATTACGGTCATTGTTTTAGGCTGGAATGAGCCCAGCTTGCCAAATGCCGGTTTTCTTCCATATTTAAGAACTGAAAATCTTTTTGGACTTTTAATTGGAAAAATCAGAAGACATTTGAAGGCGTCAACCTGAGGACTAAGAACTTGCGCTGGCTCCTTTTTTACAACTTTCTTACAGTTTGATGATTAATCAGTCAATAAATAAATAATTGTAAATTGCAGCCTGATAATGTGCTTATAAATTTTGTTCAAATCCACACAATTTTATTTCTGATTCTAGTAGAGAACTCAAAGTTTCCACAGATACCAGACTTGTCAGGATGAATTTTGAGATAATGACCATATATGTAAATTGAATATTTATCTGCTTTTTGCACACTGTATTGTATTATACATTTTGTTTAAAACATATTCCATTTAAAAGAGTGGAGGAATTATCTTTTACTTAAGTAAACGTGTTAAATGTTAATTGGTGAAGTAACTAAAGCTGTCAGATAAATGCTGTTCAGTAAAAGATACAATAATTCCATCTAGAATGTAATGAAGTGGATGTATAACGTGGCATTAAAAGACTCAAATATAAAGTACAAGTACCTCGATGTTGTACGTAAGTACAGTACTTGTGTAAATGTTCATATTTACGTTTCACCACTTGATTTGCACAACCAGGACGCTACTTGAGGAACAGGTGAATTGGGTTTTGAAGGATTGATTTGATGTAATATAGGTAATATAGATGCTGGAAAGAGAAACTGACTTTAATGCATGAGTTAGTTGGGTCGTTGGTTTCAACACTGAGACAGTAACACTGCTGTCAGACATCAGACAGACAGCCGGGTCACTCCCACCTGTCTCCAGTCACTGCAGCACCTGAGCGGCGCAATGAATTTTAACATAAGACGACATTTTAAAGCTCAGGTTTCAGCCCAACTCGCGCTGTCAGCCGGTAAAAATAGGCCCGCTGGCTGCCGGGTAGTGACACATGCCGGCTGTCACGGTGCAGTTAAACGTTACGACTACTACCGGAGCGGGAGGCATGTTTCTGGGGAGGAAAACACAGCCCGTCGCCGGCCATACTCGGTACACACAAGGCAGCTACTGTTAGCCGGAGATGTTAATGTGCCAGCGGCCGAAATGTGACAGCCGTTCCCCGCATGACATGCTCGATTGCCGTGTTTACAGCGCGCAGAGAGCCGGTAGTCATGTGCCTGCCATTTACTATTTCAACACGCACACACACTCGCGCGCATACTGTGACCCAGCTCAACATGTTCCTGCCGAGCTAACTGGCTAACGGACAACACAGACACCCTCTGCATTAGCTAACCGAGGAGGTGACACTTCAGCGCGTTAGCTGGAATTAAAACCAACAGGTTTAACAGCGCTTAAACGCCGTAACCGAGAAAACTGGTTCACACGGAAAAACACCACATTAGTCTGGCTAACATTTTCCGCGTTCCTGTGTGGCTAGCTAGAAGCTCGCTGCTATCCCTGAGAGGCTAACTAGCTAACTAGCCTAGCTGGTTGCTATCAGATAGCATTAGCTAGCAAGCAATGAAACACCCCTTAAATGTGTTTTTACACGCTATTCGTAATTTCAGAATAGTTCCCGATAAAAGTTTATTTATTCTGTTACTACTGTATGAACAGTTCGGCTAGTCCCATTTGAGTATTTATTTTAAAAAAGAAAAAGAAAGTACCTGAGCCAAGATACAGCAAAAATCCCCTTTCAGATTTTTTTGTGATTGGACGGCTTTGTTATGTCTGCCTGACTACAAAGCCAACGTCTATTCCGACTGGTCGACTGTTACAAATCTACCCGGATACCAAAAGCGGGTGAAATTTCATTCGTCGATCAGAATTATTTTTCTGACAGGGATTTTTCTGATTGGACGCCTTTTCCTGGTCTGCCCAGTTACAAAACAGATGAATTTATTTCGCTAAATCTGCATAGCAACAGCGGCCTGTTTAGACAGCGAAAGCGAAAGTATTCAAATACATGTTTTATAAATACGTAGTTAACATTTCTGTCTATTAAATATGTATGATTATTATACAGTCTAGATAAGAGCAAACATTTTTAGAGGCTATGCATAAGTAATTTTATTTTTATGTTGTTTTTTTGTACAGTTTTTATTTTTATCACTGTAAAGCAAATTTCTTTAATCGTATGTTGTCAAAGAAACTTCTGATATACAGTTTTGTTTTTGGTTAATATTTTAAAGACTTGTTAAATCAAACACACTTTGTGAGGAAAAATTGACAACTATTTTTGACAGGAATCTGAGAATTTATTGTGGACTGCAATTAAAAACAAATTTAATTGAAAAAAGTTATTTGAAAAAAAAATTTGTTCTAAAAAATGTCCGGTTTCTAGAAGACACCATCAGCCTGAAATGGTTAAAATGTACACATTTACCACAGGATGTTCATGTGAGAGGAACAGTAATGTCCAACTGAAAGTAAAATACACTGCTCAAAAAAAATAAAGGGAACACATAATCATCACAGTGTAACTCAAAGTCAATCAAGCTCCTGGGATATCAACCTGTCCAGTTAGGAAGCAATACTGATTGTGAAACAATTTCACCTGCTGTTGTGCAAATTGGACAGACAATAGGAAGAAAGGAGAGGCAATTACCGAGACAACCCCTAATTAGGAATGGTTTTGCGGGTGGTGGCCACAGACCATTTCCCTCTCTGCGTCCTTTCTGGTTGATTCTTGGCTAGTTTGAATTTTTCCAGTGGCCTCACCACTAGTGGTATCATGAGGTGGTATCTGCAGCCGTCAGAAGATGCTCAGGTAGTGCAGCTACTCCAGGATGGCACATCCATACGCACAGTGGCCCGAGGGTTTGCTGTGTCTCCCAGCACAGTGTCAGGAGCATGGAGGAGATACCAGGAGACAGGCCAGTACACCAGGAGAGGTGGAGGGGGCCGTAGGAGGGCATCAACCCAGCAGCAACCCACTATCTGCTTCTTTGTGCAAGGAGTCACTGCAAGGAGCACTGCCAGAGCCCTCCAAAATGACCTCCAGCAGGCCACTCGTGTGCAGGTTTCTGCCCTTACTGTCAGAAACAGACTCCATGAGGGTGGCATGAGGGCCCGATGTCCACAAGTGGGGCCTGTGCTCACACCCTGGCACCGTGCAGCCCGTTTGAAGACCAGAATTGCCAGATTTGCCACTGGCGCCCTGTTGTCTTCAGAGATGAGAGCAGGTTCACACTGAGCACATGTGACAGATGTGACAGAGTCTGGAGACGCCATAGAGAACGTTTTGCTGCCTGTAACATCCTCCAGCATGACCGGTTTGGTGGTGGGTCAGTGATGGTCTGGGGAGGCATATCCTTGGAGGGCCACACAGACCTCCACGTGCTAGCCAGAGGTACCCTGTCTGCTGTTAGGTACCGGGATGAGATCCTCAGACCCATTGTCAGACCATATGCTGGTGCAGTGGGCCCTGGGTTCCTTCTGATGCATGACAATGCCCGGCCTCATGTGGCTGGAGTGTGTCAGCAGTTCCTGGATGACAAAGGCATTGATGCTATTGCCTGCCGTTACCCAGACCAGACCTGAATCCAATCGAGCACCTTTGGGGCATCGTGTATCGTAGCATCCATCGCCCGGAGCTGACTGATGCCCTGATCCAGGTCTGGGAGGAGATCCCCCAGGAGACCATCCGTCGTCTCATCAGGAGCATTCCCAGACATTGTAGGGAATGTATACAGGCACGTGGAGGCCATACACACTACTGAGCCACATTATGAGTTGTCCTGAGGAAATTCACAGAAGTTGGATCAGCCTGAGATCTGATTTTTCCACTTTGATTTTGGGTATGATTCTGAATCCAGTCCTAAATGAGTTAATATTTTGGTTTCCATGAATTGTTCTAAATGAATTACACTATGTAATCAATAAAAAATTTCTTCTGGAATATTTCATTCATCAAGATCTGGGATGTGTGATTTAAGTGTTCCCTTCATTTTTTTTGAGCAGTGGTGTGATGTGCATAATTTAATAAGCAAAACTTTAAATGATTTATCTGGGGGAAAAAGGAACATTTGATTTCCAGTTTAAAGTTTTTAAATGTGAACCACATTTGTTTAAAACACAAATGAAAACAAAAAAACCAATGCAATTCCTTTTTTATTTATTACATTTATTTTCCATCATACAAAAGTTAGAATAAACATCAGAAAAAAAACTAAACTGGGTTAGATAAGTTGCAATTGTTTTTGATGGAAGGCTTCATCAGTCACACCTCATCCTCATTCAAACCCACTGCAGAAAAAAAAAAAACATGATTACAATTACAACTTTTATCACCTTAAGGGTCATCAATGACACTTGAAAAGCAGAAATACATATAATTTTTTCAGACTGCATTTCATCGCTAAGCATCTTGAGAAGCTCTGTCTTGTAAGTCTTCATCAATGACTGTGACCAGTTCAACAGAAAGATTTGTTTTCTCGGTTTGATTTCAATAAGTTTAGGAGGAATCAGCAGATATAATTTTTTAGTATTTCACACAAAGCAACTAAAATTTTATTATGAGGCAAGTCTTGAAAAAAATATCAAACTTTCTGATAATGTAAATTTTATTTTGATTTGTTATATGAAAGGATAAAACTGTTCAATGACTTTAAAATTCAAATTTAATTTTAAAAATCAACAGCAAACAGTTAATATTTGCTTCAACGTCAGTATCAGGTTTGTCTCTGCTAACAGAGTGCCAAATCCTCCACCTGCTTCTCAGTTAAATTCCTCCAGAGTCTCCTTGTTACATGTTGCCCTTCTTTCATCAGATTCTGCACAGCTGGAAGGTTTTTACTGTGAAAAAGCTGCACACTCTGAGTGCTCTGAGAGCAAACTCTCAGCTGGACTTAAAGTTGTTCTACATCCGTACTTGAATATCACTGACATTTTGCAAAACGACCAACTATTTCATTTTATTTGACTGTTATCACGGGGAACCTTATGGGGACCATCCTGCGACCTTTGACCTTACCTGACCATGTGAGCGATGTCCCAGTTGGTTTCTGATGACAAAGGTCCAATAATCTCCACGCCCTCTTCTGTTACTATGGCAATCTCATGCTAAAACAAAAACATCAACACATAACTCATTAAACTTCACGGCAGTGTACGTGTGAAAAGGAGGAGACCGATAATATTAAATGATACAGTCAAACCAGTCAAGAAGTGAAATATAAACTATATAACATTAGCAGTTACCAACAGTACTGCTTTAAAACAGCTGACTCAGGATCAGTCTACAGGTTAAGTGAACTCACCCTGTTGTAGGAGCGAGCGTCTCTGTAGTAGAGGACTTTGAGGCAGCGCTCTACCAGCTCCCGGGCCTCCTGCTTAGTGATTTCCACCTTGTTCTCCACCACCTCCCTCATCAGAGGCTAAAACAGAGGCCAAACACTATTTTGAGTGTTGTTTCTTTTTTGTTAATATTCTATATTTAAATGTAATAACAGTTAAATGATAAAATAAACTTTAACTGGTCACCAGAGGGGACTGTTGCAGCAGCACACTGAACAGTTCAGGTAAACAGAGAAACTACAATAAATAAATAAATAAATATAAGAATAGAATAAAAAATAGAAAATTACACAGAGCATATGGAGATAAAATTAAAAGGTAACACGACAGTGGTGTGTTGTAGTATGATATAAAAGCCTACGTTAACAGTGTACACAAGACAGATGGTACGATTAAATACTGTTACTTGGTGTTTGAGTGTATTAATGTGGAGGTGTTATATAAATAGAAAATAGAATATGATGCAAAAAACTGTGCGAACATATGAACATGTAACAGCATAGTATTAGTTTCAGATATGAGTATACAGTGAAAGGCAGTAATATAATATATAACAGTACAAGAACATACCTTTTAACAGAGTATCAAGTAAAAGAACAACGTACAAACAACATGGAAATAACAGTGAAGTGTAGTGTGATGAAATGAAAGCTAACTGACATACATTGACATTGTCATACAGATTAGTGTTAATTTATCATGTTGATCTGTTCTGTACAATATCTATTGCATGTCTGTCCGTCCTGGAAGAGGGATCCCTCCTCAGTTGCTCTTCCTGAGGTTTCTAGGGCTGACCCAAAAAATTCGAAGCTTCGTTCAATGGCACAGGATTCGATTGTGGAAAAAAAAAAAAAAAAAATCGAATATTCTGCCTTTTTTTTCTCCCGTAAATCAGAGAACAGGGATATTATTATTGCCACGGGTTATTTGAAATGGACAAAGGTATTCTTTACTGGTGAGTTAAGGGAGAATAGCTACCATGTAATTAAAAAAAGAAAACATCTCTGACAAGGAAACAGAAAGCTTGACGTGCAATGAATGAGACCTATTATCCTGCTTGAACACAGACGACTAAATTTTTTCAACAATGTGACTCAAAATAATGATAAAATAGATTTTATTGATGTAAAATAATATGCTGATGGTGACATTTTCCACTGGTCCGCTGCGCTCTGAGTCTGGTGTCAGTGACACATGCTGCACATCTGTCTGCTTGCGCTGCAGTGCGCGCAGAGGGTTTTAATTTTTAGTGTTAAATCAAAAGTTAAACACTACTAGAAGTAAAAGTGCTTTTTCGTTTGTGAATATTTTTATCTTAATTCTAGGGTTGCAAGACACTACCTTTTCGCCATAATTCTTAAGTTATTAACTTTTTTGGACTTTTTTTTCACCTACTGAATGTATGCACATGCTGCTTTAGCTATTTAATGACAACAACTGTGAAAAAAAGA